AAATTTTAGATATAAAAACAATAAAAAATTTTAGAAATAGAAAGAAAAAAATATAACTTTTTACTATTAAAAATTAAAACTTTTCTTTAATTATATATTTTTAAAAATAGAAAAATCAATCAATTAATATTTAATTATTATTATTATTATTAACTTATAAAATATAATTATAAAAAATAACAAAAATTTATTTATAATTCTTAATAATACTTTTACTAAATAAAAGAAAATATCTTTATAATTATGAATTTTAAGAATTTATAAAAAAATAAATAAATAAATTATTATGTTTTATATTTTTAAAATTCTTTTATTAATAGTTAAAAAATAATAGATATTTTTAAAAAAATTTAAAATTTTTTTAATATATTTATATTTAATAATAAATTTATAGATAACTTTAAAATAAAAATAAATAAAATTTGCTATAATATTAAAAATATTTATAAAATAGAATATATTAAAGTATTTTTATTATAAGATTATTATATTAAAAAAATTATATTTACAAATTGTTATATTTAGCAGTGGCAATAGAAAAAAGGTTTTTTAAATTATATAAAATAGTAATTTCAAAACTCTTTCAAATAATATGTTCTTATTTTATTATAAAATAGTTAAAAAAATAGAATTGTAATTTTTGATTAATATATAATAAACAAGTATAAATATAAAAAACATTTTTATTATATATTATAAGAGGACAAAAAAATTAGATAGATTTAATATATGTTATCCTCATCCAATTGGAGTTTAATTAAAGCTTGAGGAATTTTTAGAATTTTATAACATGTATATAAAAAGAGAAATGTACAAGAAAAAAAGCAATGATAAAAACCATCCTTTTTATTATAAAACTCAGATTATTATCTAACACTTTCACTTACCTTATGCTATATCTCCACACCTCTTCTAATATTACACAATCAGTGATTGTAACATAGTAACAAACTTGCTGTTACAAATCTCAACAATATATAATTTTCAAATTTCTGTAAATAATTTTTGATTCAAGGATATTAATTGATTATTTACTGATATCTATCAAACTATACAATACAAATAAGAGGCAATAAAAAATACTTTAAAAAGTTTTTATTCAAGAAAAATAACAAAAATCAATTTGTATTAACAATACTCAAAATTAATAAACTAATATATAACAAGTTAATTAAAATTATGTATACAAGTTCCAAATTCAATCCAAAATTTAATAGTCTTATTTAATAAATTAATCCATTACTTTACTTTCCAGAAAATCTATTAATTAATAATTTACAACTTGGAAGCAGTATTAGATATTACAAGAAAAATTTAAATATTATCAAGATATATATAATTTGTAAAAACTAATTGGTTCTAAAAAAATTTGAATGTATTTACAGTTTATATAATCTTAAGATTATTAACAAATTTAATAAAAACATTAAAAATACCAAAGCGAACAAATATGGAAACCCAATTGCTTTTATAATCAAGCTTCTTTCAAATAAACTTTCAATTAGAGAGAACCTTTACAACCTGTATCCAGACCAATATCTAGATTAATACTATTCCAGATGCAATATCTATATTGAAAACATCAAGCATATTTTTAAATACTCCTTAACATCAGAGAACATTAACCAAATTATTACTGATATCAGCAATATTTTTTATCCTGGAAGTAATCATAAACCAATATCACACATATAGCAGTTAATTGAACCGGCATAACTAAATTCTCTAATTAGATTGAAGTATCAACTGAAATCTTAATGAAACTATACAAATTGATTTGAATACCCCGATGTATCACAGCCAACACATCTCTCTCTACTGGTATCAAATGGAGCAAGAATACACTCAGAACACCAAAAGGAAAACCCCAAAACATCTCCAAACCAAAATCATATAAAAATATTTCAGCTACTACAAAACTCAATCACCATCGATCTACTAACTATGGTAGCCGATTCCTATATCCAAAATGGATATGACTTTTCAAGTGTATTAATAAACTAATCATCAATTATTCTAGTCTACTTTCATACAATGCTGAGTAGGTAACCACAGCTGCTCAGGACCACTTGACGTGATATATTGTTTTAAAGTAGTTACAGTAATAGTGAGTAGCGGGAAAGGGACTGCATTATATGGGTTAGGGCTCGGCAAATTTCTCCCTTGAAACATTCTGCTATCAATTATTTTTACTTTCATTTTTTAATTGACTGGCCGGTCCTTTCTCATATAAAAAAAAATAATGTAAAATTGTTCGTTCTCGGAATCGAGATCCACAACACGATCAGATGTTATTACATAATAATTTCGATTTTGCAACACAGTATGTATGAATGTTTTTTGCTTTTGGACAACTCTTTCGTATTTTTCCTTTCAAAATGTACTCATCTACCACGATAATTCATATCTTACCCGTTCTAGTTCTACTGTAACAACTGCCTCAACTTTATCCGATATGTCGACGACTCAACTTCGGTTGCGCAAAGAGCTCCTTAACCTAGCCAGGGAACGCTTACTTGCGGTTCAACAAGAGGAAAATATGGAGGCGAGTGAGAATATGGAGCCAATAGTTATCGCCGAAAATGTGTCACTCGAAGCCTACATCAATTTTTGTAAAACCGAGCAAAAGCTTCCTGTCAGAATTCGTCTCGTCGATGGAAAAGTCATAGCTTATGAAGTGCCTCTCTCAAACCATGGAATGGTAGCAGGTGAAATTGCATTTTTGATACATTCCTGGAATAATCAACTACGTCATGTACAAGAAGAGGATCTCGTTGTGTCTCAGAATAGTTACCTTACTGCTGATGTTACCATCCGACCATTAGACCTTCCTCCATCTCCAGCTGACCAGGAACCTAACTCAGATGAGGGAGCATATCCAACAATGGTTGTTGAAGTTGGCACGAGCGAATCTCTTCCCAGTTTACATAGTCTTTCGACATATTATTTTTCTCCACGAACGACTATTCAAATTTACCTTACAATCAAACTGCTTTCCATTCGTCAAGACGATACAATGCACTGCGCTACCTATGTACAAACCAAAATCAAATGGTGCCAGATGTTGTAAAATCTTTTGGCACTGCGCCTCTCCATCGTAATACAATAGATTTTCTTTTAAATGATGTGGGTGTTAAAATTACTGGTGTCGGGTTTACAGCAACTACTTGCAACGCTCCTAGTATTCCAAATTATCAATTGCATATTCCGACTGTTGAACTTTTCCACGGTTCTCCTAGTGGCGTCCCTGCTGGAGCAATTAATGGGTTTTATTTGACTTATGGGAATTACAAAATATAGTATTGAATGTAAACTACAAATTTCTCAATATCATTGTAGCGGTGTATATGTTTGTGGGTAATATATTTGAAAATAAGAAACGAGTGGAAACTTTGCATAGCTTATTTCTTGACGAAAGTATTGGTATCACGAAAAATAACGCGTAGATGGGTTTTCATATTTAACGTTACGTAATAAAATAAATTCATTGCCTAATGGAACCTATAATGCAATTCACAAATGTTTTCAAGATATAAATAATTCCTAATTCCTCGAATTTTTCGGGAATAATTATACTTATGTGGATCTTAATAGTACCAAATCACGTATTAACTGCCTTTCGAAGTCTTCCTCATTTTTGTGGAAGTGTTTCAATACTACCTGTGTTGTATACCTTGAACCTCTATGGCTAACCCATGTTGTGGATGGTATATATCAAGCTTTAATAATCGAGGATACTCCAGTGTTATTAAGAAATCTGGTCAGCGGACACCAGGTGGACCAAAATACTTGTTGTAATGTTACGGCATTATTTTCGTGTCTGTTTAAGCAATAGGGAATCATGTTTTGGCATGCTTTATACCATTAAAACTCGCAAGCCATTTATGTCCTTTATCACACATCCATTGCATTAGCATCAAGGTTTCTATATTCGGTAGAGAGAGAGACATGCACCACCTTTATTGTTCACAATCTCCTTGCAAGCTCTAAGACCACAAGGAGTGATACCAGCACATTGTGCACATATCTAATTTTATCTTTTATTTGAGTAAGAGAAGCATACCATTCATAAACTTTGGCACAGCTCCAAAGCATTGGTGTGTTTGCATTGTCATATTCTGTAAAAAGGAAATTTCCACCACGTTTGTGCAAGATTTTTTGCTATACCAATGCTAATATAGGGATGATATAAACCACCTGGACATCGTTGGCACCAAGTTCCTTTTATAATATCTTTTAGCAAAGCTTTCCATTTATGTCCTTGTTTACATTGCCATTGAAGGGGATTATTTATATTAATAAAAATGAGTGAAATGCAATGACCTCTATTTACTGTGAGACTTTTCATATCTTGGATAGTTCTTGTGCAATAATTTCCAGCATACCATGGGTACCATGTCTTTCAGTTTTTTATATGATTTATATATGCAGATAATTTATGACCTTTAGCACATTTCCAAAGCATTGGGGATTTGTTTTTAATGTATTTTTCAGAGAGACACTCACCTCCTTGACATTGTACAATCTCTAGCAATATTTAGTTTGGATATCATTTGTATCTAAATTTATTTTCTTCTTTAATAACTATTTTACTCTTTTACAAAGCTCTTGCTTTATTTTTATAAATTATTGAGAGTATAAAATTATCAAATAGTTATTTAACAATTTATATAGACTAAGTTAAATCTAATCTGAATCTGACTCAAATCAAATTGGATTTAAAATTTTAAAATCTGATTCAATTCAATTCATATCTGATTTGCAAATTAATCAGATTCAATTAAAAATTGTAACTCCTATTTATAGCTAAAATGAATATTAATTTCTAATAAAATATCCACTTCGCTAATCTTAAGCAAATTTAATTTTGTTTGAGATAATTTTTAATTAGAAATAAACGATTTTTTTGTAAATTTGTTAAAATGTATTGAATAGGAAATACAGTATATTAATAATATTTATTTGATATTAGTTAATATTAATTGTATATTTAAAATTTTGGCAATAGGTTTATGTAATAATAAAGATTTTTAAGATTTTTACATTATATTATAAATTTTTATAATAGTTAAAAAACAAAAGAGCTTGGATTTTTTTCTATAATTAAATAAGAATAAGAATATAATGTAAACACTTGAACTTCTCTTTCCACGATATCTCGTAAATCACCTTAGTGTGATCAATAAATTTCATAACAATCATAAGGTTTGATTTTTTGTCTTTGGTGATTCCGTAGCATCTGGTAATTCGTGACCTACCATTGTTTAATTTATGAAGGTTTTTTCTTATATTTAAGGTTAAATTTATCAGCAAAGTAATTTGTATAAGTTCTAAATGATCGCATTAATAAAATTACGCGATACGAAAGAGACAAAATTTTATTGTATTGATCATATAATTATTACCTCCTCTAGATATTCTTTAGATATCTCTTGAGAGTTTTTTAAACATTTTAGTGCTACTTTTATTTCCCCGGATCTCTTCCATTGATTATATTCGCTTCAATATGAGATGGTTCCTTCCTTCCAATCAACCAAATAAACTTTCGAAAAACCACCTTCACCAATTTTTTAGATATTTTCAAATCTTTCGTATGGAATCCATTCAAGTGTCTTGAATCTGCTTGTTTCTAATTGTGCTTTTTGTATGTTATTATTAATATCTTTATTTTCGCTTGTCCATTTATCAAATTCTTTTTTAAAGCGAAAGTAGTTACAAGGATGACACCAGAGATCAGTGACTCTTTTTTTACATTGGTTGCATTTATATAAATTGTTAAAATTATATTATCACTCAAAATATTGGTTCTAATAGTAACCAGAAATTTAATTCATTTAAAATGAAAATATGCTTACTTCCTAAAAATAAAGAATATAACTCAGATCAATTAACTACCTATGGTATTAATTTCCTCGAGAAATATTAATGAAAATATGCTTACAGTCTGTAATAATAATTAAAGTAAAGAATACAACTCAGATCAATTAAACCACCTATTATATAGATTTACTAAAAAAATATTAATGGAAATCTCGAATGATTAATAAACATCACCTATTGATGCTTTAATCATTCTGTTAACAAAATTCATCATTAACGAAAGTTTAAAATACAATAAATGCATAAATGCAACGTTATGACTTATTCAATATATTGCATGTTACACCGATAAAGTAATACGAATCAGACCAAAAATAAAATAATGTACTGTATATAAACCAATTTGATTCACACAGAAAATTCAATATTTTTAGTAAATGGAATAGGTTTTATAGATATCTATCAAGGTTTTATTTAGATATATAATTAAAACAATTATATTAGATTTTGTAAATTATACACTACTATTCAAGAATGCATGAATATTAAAGCAATATTCTAAAAATAATTGGTATTGTAACCTTCACTAAAGATTGGATCTGGTTATTAATATTGATAGATCTTAGATTCAAATATATAAATAAAAATCTTTATACATATTGTTTTCAATCCAGGTATATACAATATGGGTCAAAAATAATTGAATTGGCATTTTTTATTATAATTCAATAAATAATAATTAAGATAAAAATTTTAAATATATTTATATATTTATAATTCATTTAATAATATATATATATTTAAAATTAAAATTTTATTAACACTTAATTAATAAATTTATTTAAAAATATTAATTTAATATTAATAAAAAATTGAATATAAAAATAAATAAAAATTTTAACTTATTAAATATTTATTATTTTATTTAATTGATATTAAATATATACAGTATATAATTTTATTATATAAAATTAATTTTAAAAATTTTTTTAAATTTTTAAAAACTTAAATTTCATTAAATTTTAAAATTAAATTAATTAATAAGTAATTTTTGTACTTGATAAAAAAATAATTATTATATTATTATTATTATTATTATATTTTATAATGTAATTAAAATTAATTATATAACATTTTAAAATTTTAATATATTTTAAAAACTTTATTAAGTAAATTTATTTATTAGTTAATTTTTAAATTACTACAAAAATAAAAATTGATATATTATTAAATTATTTTTTTAATAAGTAAATATTTTTTTTTTGTTAAGGTGAGATGTGTCTCATGATCTTTATTAATATCATAATTTTTATTACATAATTAATTTTTAAGATATGAGATATATGGACAAATGTACATATTAGTCTACCACCTATAGTAGTAGATATATTTCTAAATAAAAAACCCTTGGGCAGGGAAAAGTAAGAAAGGAACTATTTACAATATTAATATATATAAAGAAAGGTGCAAGATCGTCTTAAGTAAAAGAATGTATCAGTATGGTAATTTGAGGATAAAATATGTAGACATGAAGTCACTATATATATTGAGTTTAAAGTCAGAATTAATTACTCCCCGAAACCATATATAGTTGGATATGTTTTGAATGAAATAGTTGTGTAGACATGATATGTGTTAGAGTTTGGAGAAGTATTATCTTTGAATCAACAATCCCTATCGCAGGGTATAAACCAAATGTGTCTACCTAGGTTACCGCTTCCTTTTTTATAGCTGGATGTGACTCCAGCAGCAGTAGAGGAGCACTGACATAAGCTACCAGATTATGGGGCGCAACTCCCTAGTATTTCACTTCCACTCGCAATAAAAGTGCTTTACTTTTATTTACATTGGTTAGGCTTTAGCTATCTTTTTTCTTTAACAGTAGCATTGCTGCTCGTGAAGCGCAACTCTATTGTTGAGATAATATAAGTTGGTTATGTGGTTGGAAAAGAAGTGTTGTAATTGAAATATATATGAGTTAGGTAACTAGAGCCCAGCTCCAGTTGATTGTTGTGTTGTTTGAATGCATGTTAAGTAAAGATTACCAGAACCCGTGCAGGGCACAGGTCATATGCTCTCCCAATTCGGTAGGTTGTTAGTTGATCATTTGTTGTTGTTATTGTTGTTATTGTTATTGTTGTTATTGTTTTTTTTTTAAATGTTAAGCGAGGCATTTCTTGTGATCTTTATTAATAGAGTAATTGCGATGTTACATAATTAATATT